AAGGCGGCGAAGGGAGAGGAGTAATAAGAGATGGACCAGAAGACTGAAGCCTGCAGCAGAGAGACAGGGACAAGCAATCAATACACACACACAGGTCTGCCATTTCCAGGCCTAGGCTCTGAGCAAAGCGGATAGGAGGTCATATCAAGTACCTATTCTGTGCGTAACACAGTAGGTGCTTAATATTTGTTGAAAGGCAATGTATCAGAGCATAACAGAGGCTGGGGAAATTAGGTACAGGTTCTGTTTTCTTCCTCTTATCTCCGGACATAATTTCATCACGTTTAAAGGCCAGTTTCTTTTTCTGCTCAAGTTAATCAAGCCTTTTCCATCAGCCCTGCTCAGGACAGCACCTGGCCTGGTCCCCAAGAGATGCACAAACGTCACCATAGGAACCCTGCCAGAGAAAACAGCTGTCTTTGCAGCCAAAGAGGTTAGTTGCCAGGGAGGACAGGTCACTGGGGACTCAGCACCTGCAGACGGTCCCAAGAGTAAACACATTTTCGTTAGGGCTCAGGCTGCCCCAGAGAAAGCAAACACACCAAAGGGGAGTACCAAGTATGTGTGCTTGAGAGCATGTCCGTGTGTGTGATGGAGAGGGCTGCAGAGCCCAGAGCATCCCCCACCCCCAGGGGCACTGCCTTCTCCCAGGCTGGGGAGGAGAAAGTTCAGGAGGGCAACTGGGTCGGAAAAGATGCAGTAGTCCCAGACGTCAGGGCAGACATACCAGTGCCAGAATGCTGTCAGCATGCTTCTCCAGGGCACGGGGTTGGTAGTACGTATCCTGCCAAAACAGATGCCCGCATCAAGAACCATGTCCATCGACAAGTCCTTCCCCTTCCCTTTTGAGAGCCCTGATGTGTGTCCTCTGGTTCTAGCCTCCAAAGCAATCCCTCCTGGGACATCCCTGGCTCCCAAAGAAGCCCCTCTTCCCAACCCCCACTCCAAACCTGATTTCCTACCCCAGACCATGAGAACAGAGATGCCTGGACTTGCAAGCAAAAGTGAAAGCCTCACTGGACATTTTGTGCTCCTTTTCCACAGCCCAGTTTCAAACGGGTTGTGGGCGTGTGCATATGGGGAGAGGAGTTACAGAAGAAAGGAGAGACACCATGACAACTTTAAGAGGGAAAGAAGATTAGAAATAACAGTAGGGTGATTAAGGAGAATGTGGCTGAGGGCGGGAAGTTCTGGAGGGCAATAAACGCAATTTGAGACTACCAATGAAAAGGTGGAGAACATGTAGGGGCACAGCCTACCACCACCCCCAGCTTTCAGGGATGCGATGACCCTGGGGTCCCCAACGTAGGGTGGGCGGTTGGGTGGGGGGCAGCGGATACATATGTCGATGTCATCTTGAAATTCAAGGCCAGGGTAGAAGGAAGAGAAAACAGAACCGGGGAAGGCACCGAGTCAGAAGAAATCGAGAGTCAGACGGCAAAATCATCCAGCTCTCGAATCCGCGCAGGGTCTCTTCCAGGACTTAGAGTCAACTGGGACCAGCACGAACCACGAAAGACAGGGTGGGGGGCCGCAAGAGGAAAAAGCAAGGAGTGGTAGTCAGAATGAGAAAGCGGTGGCAAAAAGCGATATAGGAGGCAGCCGGTCCGCAGGCGTGACTTTAACCCAGGAAGCACAAAGAGCACTTTGCAGACAACTGGCTTGACAAGGAGGCTCCCCCGATTTGCAATGATGGGCGCTTCTGGAGAGCAAAGGCCGCAAAGGGGTTTGGGCCGTACCATGTTTTTGACCAGGGGAGAACTCGACTCACCCAGGAGCTGGAAGGGGGGGTAGTGACTGAAGTTGGAGTCTCAGGGACGGCGGACGGGGCCCTTTCCGAGTCCCTTTCCCGGTAGATTTTGTAGAGCCGGGGGCCTAGGACGCAGCTCAGCAGCTTCGCCATGGCCCCCGCTCCGGCCACTGCTCTCCCAGCAGCAGGTCCCCCTGCTGGCCCCGCCCTTTCCCGGCCTCTAAGGTATTGCGTGCCCTTGACGTCAGCACGTACCGGCTCCGCCTCGTGCCCTGTGGAGACATTTTCCGCGCTGCTTGAGACGGTTTTCGTGCAGTTGGACCTACGGGTAGAGCAATGGTCAGAAATTAGTCGGAGGCGTTTGGAACGTGGAAAATTAGAACATTATCAGGCGTAGTTAAGTCCCCCCCCCTTTTTTAAATCCCTTAATATTGGTAGGCTCTCGAGCGACAGTGGGAACGAGAGGTAAGATTAGGAGCACTTGACAAGAGCAACAAAAAAGGAAAGGTGTCTAGGAATACATCTAACCAAAGAAATGCAAGATTTTATGAAGAAAATTACAAAAGTTTTTGAAAGAGGTAAACGAAGGCTTGAATAATTGGAGAGCTACATCGCAGTCACGGATAGGAGGACTCAGTATTGTTAAGGAGTGTGAAATACTGGTCAATACAAAAAACAACAACAAAAAAAACAAAAAACCGGAGGGGCGGGGATGAATTATCGCTCTTAAGCGTGGACGAATCTCAAAACCTCAAAACCGTAATGTTGAGTGGAAAAAAGAAACCTACAGGTTACATACAACCTGACACCATTGTATAACGTCCAAAGAGAAAATTTAATGATCGAGAGTGAAAGATAAAAGAGCAAATTTAGAATAGTGTAACACAGCATAGAGGATCTTTGAAATGGTAATACTAATTTTTAATAGATATTCAGGTTTGTTTTATTTTTCTTTGTACCTTACACCTACATAATATATACATTCTTTAGCTTTTTATTGCAGTAAACACCTATACAGAAAAGTGAACCATTTGAATATATCCATGTAATCACCATCGAGATCAAAATTACATTATACCACATATACAAGATCTTCCTCAAATCACTACCTGCCCCACCAAGAGTAACCACTATCTTAATTTCTAAATTCATAGGTTAGTTTTGCCTGATTTTGTACCTCACGTAAATGGAATCATATGAAATCACGCCCTTTGTTTCTTGCTTCTTTTACTTGTTATGTTACATTTGATGTAGTCTTTGGTATGCATGGAATATTTCATCAGAAACAATTTTAAGGGGGCACCTGGGTGGCTCAGTTGGTTAAGCGTCTGCCTTCAGCTCAGGTCATGATCCCAGGGTCCTAGGATGAGCCCCATGTTGGGCTCTCTGCTCAGTGGGGAACCTGCTTCTCCCTCTCCCTCTGCCCCTACCCACCCCCCACCTGCTTGTACTCTCTCAAATAAATAAAATCTTAAAAAAAAGAAAAACAATTTTAGAATAAAAAAACACCAATTCAAAGAGATACAGGCACCCCTATGTTTATAGCAACATTATTTACAATAGCCAAGATATGGAAGCAGCCCATGTGTCCACTGATTGATGAATGGAGGAAGAAGATATGAGATAATGTGTGTGTGTGTGTGTGTGTGTATACACACACATATATGTGGAATATTATGCAGCCATAAAAAGGAATGAAATCTTGCCATTTGCAATGATATGGATGGAGCTAGAGAGTATAATGCTAAGCAAAATAAGTCAGCCAGAGAAAGACAAATACCGTATGATTTCACTCATATGTGGAATTTTTTTAAAAAAGATTTTATTTATTTAACACAGAGCGTGCATGAGAGAGCACATGCAGGGGGAGTGGCAGAGGGAGGAGAAGCAGGCGCCCCCATATGTGGACTTTAAGAAACAAAACAAGCAAAGGGAAAAAAGAGAGAAATCAAGAACCAGACTCTTGAGGCACCTGGGTGGCTCAGTCGGTTAAGCCTCTGCCTTCGACTCATGTCATGATCTCAGGGTCCTGGGATCGAGCCCCGTGTCGGGCTCCCTGCTCAGCGGGAAGCCTGCTTCTCCCTCTTGCTCTGCCTCTCCCCTCTTCTTGTTCTCTATCTCAAATAAATAAATAAAATCTTTAAAAAAAGAAAAGAAACAGACTCTTAATTATAGAGAACAGACTGATGGTTGGGGGTGGGGCATGGGTGAAATAGGTGATGGGGATTAAGGAGGGCACGTGTCCTCATGAGCACCAGGTGACGTATAGAAGTGTTGAAGCACTATATTGTACACCTGAAACTAATAAAACACTGTATGTTAACGAATTAAAATAAAAAATTAAGGGGCTTCTGGGTGGCTCAGTCCCTTAAGTGTCTGCCTTTCCGGCTCAGGTCATGATCCTGGTCATGATCCCCGAGGGTCCTGGGATTGGGCCCTGCATCCAGCTCCCTGCTCAGTGGGGAGTCTGCTGCTCCCTCTCCCTCTGCCCGTCCACCCGCCCCCCGTGCTCTCTTGCGCTCATGCACTCTCTCTCCAATAAATAAAATCTTTTAAAAAATAAATAAAAAATTAAAAACATACCAACCATAAAAAAAATTTTTTTAAATAACCTTTAAAAACAAATAACACATTAAAAACTATTAGAGCTATATGAAGATCTGCTTTGAGAATCCTGCCTGGGGTAAAGGGATTTGGTGAATTCTCCCGGCCCCCCCCCCGTTATCTTTTTCCTTCAGGAGTAACTTAATACACTCATCAGGGGCTCAGAAGAGGTCTGTGGTGTGCCAGGCAGCCACAGGGAAAGTCATTCTAAATTATTCATGGAGTATTGACTAGGTATGCAGTCTTATGCTGGGTTCTGTGGAGACCAACATGAAGACTCAGCTTCTTCGCTCATGGTTGGTATCTCTCTTAGGGTGGAGAAGAGAGCACAGAATGTACTTCCAGAATGAATGAAGGTGGACGGCTGTGCCCCCTTCTGCGCAGGCTTTTTAGCATGAAGTCTTTGATCTGTGTCCTTCAGCTGATGTAGAGTCAGAAGTGTGAGATCATCTTCAGAACGCCCTGGACCGGGTCTTTTCCCCCTCGGGACTGAAAGGTGGTGGTCACTTTTTTCCCAGTAGGCATGAAGCTAGGCTTTATCTCTCCAGCATTCCCATCCCCTCAGAGGCCCATGTCACTACAGACCAGGGAATGTGGGACTATATCTGGGTTTTGTTTCCTCCATGAGGCACCAGGTCCTGGGCAAGAGAATTTGGCAGGCTCTCTCCATGGCCGTCTTATTCCTCCTCCTTCTGTTTCTACGTGGACCCCACCGGGCTGCTGCAGGTAAGGAACAGGAGGTGGGGAATTCTTTGGCTATTTGAAAGGTTGTAAGGAACTACTGTTGTTTCTCCTTAGAGGCCTGGAAGGTATATGACTCAGGAAGATAGATTTACCCCAACTGACTCCCCCCTGCCTCTAATTCAGGGGAAGACCCAGAGACAACGAGGGTCCAGGTCATGTACAGTTTCTTTCTTTTTTTAATGTTTAATTTTTTGAAGATATTTATTTATTTGTTTGTTTGTTTGTTTATTTATTTATCAGAGAGCGAGCAAGAGAGCGAGAGCACACAAGCAGGGGGAGTGGCAGAGGGAGAAGCAGACTCCCCGCCGAGCAGGGAGCCCGATGTGGGACTCGATCCCGGGACCCTGGGATCATGACCTGAGCCGAAGGCAGACGCTTAACGACTGAGCCACCCAGGCGTCCCTAATGTTTAGTTTTTTAATTTTGGGGGCTTTTGTTTTGTAGAGTCTTTTGGGGGGGGTTATGTACAGTTTCCCTTAGAAAATAAGGATAGATGAGAAAATGCGTCCAGAAAAGGAGAAAGGAGAGGAAGGACCTTTGCCAACTATTCTAGCCTTTTTTCTCTTGCCTTCAGATTCCCTCACCCACTGGAGGAGAGGGGAGGAGAGTCTCCTCCTCACTTTTTGTAGCTGTCACTTGAGAAATGTACTCATAGCCAGACCCATGCGGGGAGACCCCAGAAGGGCAGAAGCTGGGGGTTGGAGGTCAAGTGGGAGCTGTCGATCTGATGCAGGTCTCTAGTCTCATACAACCTCCTCCCCACAGACAACATCCAGACCATCTATGTAGCCCTGGGGGAGGCAATGGAGCTGCCGTGCCCCTCACCACCCGCCCTGAGTGGAGATGAGCTCCTGTCCTGGTTCCGCAGCCCTGCAGCAGGCTCCTCCACTGCCCTGGTGGCCCAAGTGCAAGTAGCCCGGCCAGGCCCAGACCCCGGGAAGCCCACAAGGGTATCCAGGCTCAAACTGCTGGGGAACTATTCGTTGTGGCTGGAAGGGTCCAAGGAGGGAGACGCCGGTCGATACTGGTGTGCCGTGCTGGGTCAGCAACACAAGTACCAGAACTGGAGGGTATATGATGTCTCCGTGCTCAGAGGTGAGTGAAAGCACATAGATCAGGGGCCACTGGGGGGCCAGGAAGTCCAGCAGAGAACTAAGAGGTCCCTCTCTCCCCACAGGATCCCAGCTATCTGCGAGGGCTGCGGATGGATCCCCCTGCTCTGTCCTTTTATGTTCTGTGGCCCCTGCCAGACGCCTAGACTCTGTGACCTGGCTAGAGGGAAAGGGTCCTGTGAGGGGTCATGTACAGTCATTCTGGGGCAATGGGGCTGCCCTGCTCTTGGTGTGTCCTGGGGACGGGCTCTCTGAGTCCGGGGAACATAGACCAAGAATCATCAGCTGCCTCATGCCTCACAACAAAGGGGTCAGCTTTAGCCTGGCAGGTAAACTGAGGGAGGATATGGGAGAGGATATTGCCTCTGGCACAGTCTGCACCTGCTGGTTAGGGGAGGAAGGTGGGACTTTGCCATTGGCCAGATTCCGGTGGGGGATGATTTCTGGTGGAGCAGACCATCACCTGTAGGAAGAGGGCTTTTTTTCTTATTGACGAACTCCCTAACAGAGAAGGGGGTTGTTTAAGCCAGCTCTCTGGTGGGATAGACCACTGGCCTATTGACCACTGGAAGGCTTCTGGTGGAATACACCATTACTTAGAAATGGGGTAATCTATGACTTTTGTGGAATATCTCATAGCAGAGAGGAAGAAAAGAAGAATTTTTGATGGGGGAATTGTCTTTTGAAGAAAAGATATATGCGCTGATGTTCTAATGGCCTACTGAGAGTGGAACTAGAAGGGGAAAAAATATATAATTGTTTTACAATTAGAAGTCCGTTATAAACAGAAAGAATGCTATTGGATGTAGAATAACCCATTTACAAGGCAGGAGGGAGGAGCAAATGGCCATTACCTTGGTAAGCAAAGGCCAATTAATGGGCAGTGACAGGGTCTTATTTCCCTCTACATCCTCAGCACCTAATATGGTGCCTGGCATTTGGTGGGCACTCAGGGAATGCTTGTGGAGTGAATGAGTGAAAGAAAGAATGAATTGGAAGGCACTACTTGTTCCTGAAAGTTTGGATTACTATTAAGGATATGAGGAAAACTGCAGTTATGGCTGACCGTCTGCTCTGGAGTTAGTTGTCCATATGTGGGTGGGGGGGTGTCCCGATTCGATACCAACAGGGGCTGACAGGGTCAGCATGAGAGGCTCGAAAATGGGCAAAGTGGGTTGGTGGAAATTGGAGGCAAAGAAGCCTATGAAATCTTTGGGTGGGAAGAGCCCACTAGACTACGGGGGAAGCCTCTCTTCGCGGCACAGGAACAAACCCCTCACCACCTCCCTCCTGACCCCTGTTGTCTTGCCCTTTACTGTAGCCTCCACTGAGGTCTCCCCTGCCCTCTGTGCCCCTTCCACGGGCTGGGATGTGTCCTGGATCCTGATGCTGTTGCTCACAGTGGGTCAGGGGTTCACCATCCTGGCCCTCAGCATCATGCTCTGCAGACAGAGGGTCCAGGGGGCTCAGCGCAGAGGTGAGTCCCTCCCAGAGGGAAAGAAGAGAACATGTGGGTGTGAGGCAGAGGGCTGGGCTCACGTCTTGCCTCTAAACCCTGTCTTCTCTAGGGGAGGAGGGTAGTAAGGAGTATAGCTCTGAGTTATCTGGTGATTTCTCTGCTGCACCCCATGTGGCTCCTTCTTCCCAGATGCCTCGATTCCTCAGTTCAAACCTGAAATGCAGGTCTATGAGAACATCCATTTGGCCTGTCTCAGGTGAGGAACACGAGGGGGTGCAGGCTTAAATCCCAGAGGAGACTGGGGTTGGGGTGGGTATGGGGGTCCCCGTTCCTGAGGAGGTGGAGAATGGAAGTATCCTTAATCTGTCTTTCTGCTTCACAAAACCCACAGCCCACCTGTCCCCAAGATCAGATGATCTCCATGACATCTGCTGGAAGTGTGACCTGCTGTTTCTCTGGCCATCTGGCACCTGAAGGCTTCACCTGAAAACCTTGGCAAGGGGGGAAGGGCTGAAAGTGCTACTTTACAGTCCAGTTGGTCTCCAGCAGTCAAGCTGTGTGTGTGTGTGTGTGTGTGTGTGTGTTGGGGGGGCGCTGAAGGAAAGCGGAGATCATTCTGTGATGTTACCTGTGAGAAGGTGTGGTGTCCTGTTTCATAGCAACCAGTGAAGGGGTGGCCCTGAGCCCCCAGTACCATGGGACTGAGGGGAGCCCGGGGTGGCTGGCGGGGGTGAGGAGGGGTGGTCATGGGCAGAGATGAGACAGAAGAATCCAGAGATTTGAGCAATTGTGGAGAGTCAGCCTTGGGGAAACCACAGGACAAATGGAGGGGACTAAAGAAGAGGGAAGGGAAAGGACTCACGTTAGAGGAAAGAGATGGGCAGAGAGGGAAAACAACAGAAGCACCAAGTGGAAGGACTGAATGACAGAATAGGAAGAAGACTCGGCTTGCCTCTAAATTAAGCCAGGCCACGCCCCAGCCCTGTCCCTCATCCCTGCTCAGTCTCATTCGCACAGAGGAGTGGAGGAAGAACATGCACCTTTAATCAGACCTCAGACTTCCTCACGTGGACGGGGAGGGCACTGAGTCAGGATGGGGTGGCCCTCCTTATCCTAGCACTTCATGCGGCATCCGGCATCCGGCGTCGGGAGCGGTGAGAGGCTTATCAACATCCTGACATCCTGGGAGGCCCAGGAGTCACATGCTATCTCCCTGGGTAGAGGGAGTGTCCACAGGGGCGGGTGGGTGGATTCCCTGGTGGGGGGTGGGGTATGTGCTGGCCTGCCTGTGAACCATGGACAAGCCTGGGCTGGTCAAGCGGGGGAGGGCACTGATGCTCTTAACTGGTCCATTCCCCGGTCTCAGGCAGAAAGGAGCTGGACTCCCCACCACACCCTCACAAGCAGCTCCACCAGACACCCTTTTGTGTGTCTGCTCAAGCTTGGAGAGTGACTTCTTAGAAGTGTCACCAAAAGCCTTCATGCTACAGTGGCTTAAGCTAAGCTGTTAGCAAGAAGGAGGACTCGAATGACACAGACGGAGAATGAGGTGAAAGTTACAGTTCAGGTCCCAGCAGCCAGCCCAACCCACCAAGCAGCTCTAGTTTGCTTTTAGAGAGAGAGAGAGGAGAGAGAGAGAAAGAGAGAGAGTACACACGCACACACGCGCACACACACACACACAGCAGTGTCCTAGACTCCCAGATAGCACTTTTATTCAATTTACTCTTCACAGTTCCCCCAAGAACCTCCTTCCTGAGTTCCTGACCTGTCAAATTAATCTTTCCTAGCAAGACTGTCCTCCTTACCATACCTGGTGCCCCTTCAATCCCCTTGCCTGGGACCCCCAGCTCCATCAAATCGCCTGCCTTGCCCCAAACCAGGAGCTGAGATAGGACATCAGCAGTGGGCATCTAGAAAAAAAAAAACAAAAGACCTAGAACAGGTGTTCTTTATGAGGCAGGGCTCTGGGCAGGTGCCTATAGGGGCTACAGCAGTGCCCGTAGGAACCAGGCCTTGGGAGGGGTCTGGGAAGGTGTGAAGCCGGGAATCCGAGGTCTCTACAGAATCAGGTTCTTGGGCATATCTCAGATGCAGGTGTCTGGAGGGCGGTGATGATGGGGGCAGAGCCCTGGGTTGAAGGCTGCAGACCAGCTTGAAGCCAGCGGAGGAGGGGGCCTCCCCAGGTGAAGCTGGCCCCGAGGAGGAGCAGGGCGGTGAGGAGGGGGCTGGGGAGCGGCCGCAGCGTGGGGGCTGTGTTGCACAGGTCCTGCTCACAGCAGTGGTGCCGCAGAGCATAGGAGCGCGACCAGTAGGTGGCACGGCCCTGCAGAGGGCACTGGGCCCGTGGGAGGCAGCCTTTCCGTTCGATGATCTCATTCTGCTCTGTGGGACAAAGAGAGAATGCTGAGGACGGGGCAGGAAGGAGGCAAGGGCTGGAGGGCAGCAGGAAAAGCAGGATGGATGGATGGAGATTGGCCTGGGCCCGAGTCCTACCTGAGGTGCCAGTGCTGATGCCACAAGCTTCGTCGTCCTGACACTCGGTGGGAACAGGGTAGCAGGGTTTGGCAAAGCCGCAGGTGTAACAGCGGAGCCGACCCCGCGCAGGGGGCGGGGGCGTGGTGAGACCTGCGGCGGGGG